CACACACACACACACACACACACACACACACACACACACACACACACACACACACACACACACACACACACACTCACACACACACACCAACACAAACACAAACATACACACGCATACATACACACATAACATATTTAGCCTATACACGACGTTTAGTTTCGTGCGACAGTCGCTCGCGATCAGTCACGAGGTGTGTAGTCGCGCCCAAATTTTCAGTCGCGTGCGACAGAAGCGACAAAAGTCTCTCCTTATGTGCGACGCGACGTTAAGTGGCGCGTGACTGGTAAATCCAATTGGCGACTTGCAGTTCACAACAGAGAGACAGAAGCAAGTTATATTTTGCACATGGCCTCGAGCTTTGCCTTCACCGACGCACACACATACGCACACACACACACACACACACACGCACACACACACACACACACACACACACACACACACACACACACCTCACACGGCGTGTCGACAAGCACTTCTTGGCAAGATATTTTGACCAATGGTGATGCTCTGAACCTGTCATACCCCCAGTCTGTCGTAGGCGATGAAACCTTCAATCGCTACATGGAGCGATCGGATGAGAAGTCGCACACGACGAGACGGTTTCTTTTTACTTGATTGATTTTAGAGCAGAAAGGACAAGAAATTCCCAACCTTACAGCACAGTTGCAACTGTCTGTTCTGGCAGAACAAGGTCAACAACAGACCACGTCATGATCCCTTTCATAATACTCAATGTACACTGCCAATGGGACTCAATCAAGGATCTTAGAATTTATAATCTCCTCAGATTCAATTCAATTGAGTCGGAGTCATCCAGATTTTCCTCCATGAAGAAGCAAAAGCTACCATTCTGACACAATATGACCGGTTCTACTCCTGACCTTGATAAACGAAGTTGTGATTTTGAAGGTCATTATCGAACTCAGTTGAATTCGGTCGAATTGTGTGCATCCTTATGCGCGACTACCGTTGCCTTTTACCCTATCAATGAAGGAAATGTGGCTGACCACCGACTCAATCAAATGAATTCAATCGGCAGTATGCTATTATGGTCCCAGCTATTGGGAGACTGGCCTGGATCCAGTGCATGGTACGCAGGGAGGGGGGG